CTTGCGTACAACATCTTTTCACCCTTATTTTAAACAACAAAGGCATATTCGATTTGTCCCAACAAATCTACGTCGAAAATAACCTAGATTTGCCCATCGATGAAATTCCAATCATTTTAAACCAATACCATTGTGGTAAGATAAATATCCACAGAGGTATTAATGAAACTATCAGACGTATTCGTGAACGATACAATTTTCCCGGTTTGACTAAAGATGTCGAACATTTCATCAAGAAATGTGAAATTTGTCAGAAAAATAAAATCTGCCGAAAAAACCTCAGTACCCCTTTGGTTGTTACAGAAACTCCAGAAGCTCCATTTGAACGCATCAATATTGACATTCTAGAAGTACCGCCTCAGTGCTATGCTCTTACAATGCGAGATGAACTTACAAAAATTTCCCAAGCCTATCCTGTTAACGACAAGTCTGCTAAATCTGTCGTGAATACACTTCTTTTATATTTCCAACATTACGGTACGCCCTTTTGAATACATTGCGACTATGGCAAAGAATTCGACAATGCTCTTATGAAATATCTCTGTAGTCTTTATGATATCAAAATGACATTCTCTAGCGTCAGTCACGCCCAGTCCAATGGATCGATCGAACGATTCCATGCCACTTTATTGGTTTATATATATATAGACTGCACGCAATAATTCGTATTAGACCCTAGAAATTTTGTGTGGAACATTTGTTTCTATATGGTAATATAAAAAAGTTAGAAGGGGTTAATTTAAAGCGGGACACCCTGTACATTACAAGCTTATGAGCCATCCTTGGCGGTGGCCTTTTCTCATAAATCTTTTAATCTACCCTTTTCCTGCCTTGGTGACAAATAATCTGGCTATGAGGGACGATTCGGGTGCCGGATTTATTGTAGGCTACATACGGCGACAAATAGTGAAGCAGATTTAACCGAAGAATTCGAAAAATAAACTGTAGTTAGTGTAGAAGAACGTCTTGTTGGAAAAAGTTGGGAGCCTGTTAGTCGTCGTACGTTAATACGTCTTGGCCGGTCTATGATACATTATCAACAACTTTCGATACTTTACCTTTAAATCTAAGAATGAAACACAATATCATCCAAATGACTGCCACGGCTGGTCTGACAGTACCTCATCTGGCTAACCCAATTTTAAAGTACCCTTTTCGATTGATTCTGCTTGAACATCTGTAAAGACAACCTCGATTTCGTGTGTCAGGGTCTCAATTAATTGTGGATGGTTATACGCCTTGTTACAAATCGCCACAAAAAATTGTCTAATGGGTTTAAATCGTAGCTTCGAGGCAGCCAATTGTCTGAGTTGATTGTCTCTAATACCAAATTGTCCGGGTAAACTTGCAGTTGACTTTGGAAAGAATTTTCTAATATTTCCTAATTAAGGTCAAGCATAAATATATCGTCCCACTCCAAGAATGTGAAATGTATAACTAATTGTCTGACACATCATAATGATTTATTTATTTTAATTTATTTATTTATTTATACTCTACAAAAAAGCTACAAAGCCAATTACAGAGTAGGACAAAGTCCAAATATCAAAAATACACAATATTTTACATGTTACACATAAATGTAGGAAGTTCAATCACAAGGATACTATACGTATATACAAATATTTACAAAAATGGCAGTGTAGATAAAAAATTAAATAGCAAATAGCAGACAAGACATCATAAGGAACCACGCAGCAGACAAGACATCAGAGAAATATATCTAATTGATCCGCAATGTCATTCGCTTTACCACATGAGCTATACAATGGAGAAAACTTTAAAATATTTGTTCTAGGGATAGGCAAATAGAAGGTATTGCATTGTCTAGCATTCAAACGCGGGACAAGGAAATTAAAATCATACAATATATTGCAACAATCGATACGATTGTGCAATATATCAGTCATGAACTTAACACTGCACTTGTCACGCCTCTCCCTAAGACTTTGAAAATCGAAAGCTTCTTCTAAAGACTCTTGTGGATATCCAATCGGTGGGTAGATGCCATTTTCCTTAAAGTAAAGGTACTTCAAAAAACGCCGTTGGATATTTTCGAGTTTGTCTATCCAGAACCAGTAGGAGGGCTGCCAAATAATTGCCGCACATTCAAGCTTCGATCTTACAAGTGAGTTATATAGAAGCTTAATTGTTTTAATAACCTGCAACTCGCAACCATAGCGTATGACGAAGCCCAGCTTTTTTTAACTCTCTGCAATAATTGACCATTGAAGCAATATTTACTGTTGAAAATGACACCTAAATCCTTTATTTCATGCAATCGATTAAGGGGCACACCACCAATATCATAGCCAAATATGATCGACTGTGTCTTGTTCGTATAACTGCCCACATTGCACTTCTCAGCATTCAATGCCAAACTATTTTCCTGATTCCAGCAGTTGAGCGTTTACGTAACTTTTCAGGTCATCCGCATATAAAAGAAAAGTGACGGACCCCTGGGGAACACCTGATGCAATTTTATAAGTGTTAGATTTAAAGCCATTGTGCGAAACAAAAGATACTCTGTTTGACAAATAAGATTTAACAAGCAGGAGAAGATGGCCAATGACACCAAAGTCAGCTAGATTATCAAGAAGAATGCCGTGATCTACTCGGTCAAAGGCATTTGAGAAATCAGTATAAATGACTTGAGTACGAGAATCTATATTTCCAGATATATACTGAGCAGAGCAGAATAAGTTTGTCACAGTTGATCATTTTTTCATGAAGCCATGCTGTTGAGTTGATAAAGTATTATGCACATGCCAGTAAACTGCATCATATACATATAAGAAACTCAAAAACCTTTGAAAAGTTGTTAATTATCGTGATTTGTCTATAATTCTCAATATCGCTCTTGTTACCCTTATTTTTAAAAATAGGACAAACTTTTGACACTTTCCACGATGATGGATATTTACCATTATGCAGCGATAAGTTGAATATCGTTGCTAAAGGCTTCGCAAATACAGTCTTTCAAGCCGGAATGCCATCTGGACCAGAAGTTAATTTAGGCTTTAGTCTTCTCAAGGCATCATAAATCTCATTCACATTAAATTCAGTCTCTGTTAAAGGACTACTTCCAGTTGACTGAGTGGAGTTGGTTTTGCCACTTGAGCTAGCAATAAAAGATTTACTGAAAAAGTCAGCAAAGCTGCTTAGAATATCTTGAGGCTCACTTATTTCCAAACCGTTATTAAGTCATATTCTTAGGTATAGACCCATGACCTCTTCTGCTGTTGACAAATGACCAAAACTTTGACGGTTCTCGCTTTATATCATCTTCAGCTTTTTTTACATAGACTTTATAAGCAATATCGATATTCTTTTTAATTTTGAGTGTCAAAGCTTTCTAATCACGCAAGGTCATTTCATCAGAATTTAACTTTAACCTCCTAAACAATATCTCCTTAGTTCTGATATCCTTTATTATAGTACCATTAAACCAAGGCGGGAATTGTCTACGACATGTGGTGGTGGAGTACTTTGGGACACAAAAGAAAAAAAAAGTACATTCATTGCAGCATAAAATTGTTCAGACGCTTCCTCAACATCATGAATGCTATCGAGAAAGTTCCAATTGGTGCAGAATAGTTGATCATACAATAAAGAGATGTTAGATTGTCTGAAGTTGAAAGAATTAGGCACCATTCTGTCAAATTGAATTTCTTGCTTGGGAAGCAGTTCATTAATGGAGACAACTACCGCCGGGTGATGCTGGTCCTGCATCAGTATGGGATCGCTGCATTTATCAACACTACACACTGGGGACCTCGGTTGGCCGCGTGGGTCAGAGAGTGTCGTGCTACTGATCAGCCGGCCGGCCGGGTCGCGAGTTCGAATCTCGCCTTCGCCATGGATGTTGTGACGTCATGTGTCTGTCCATAATTCGAAATATACCCTATACCAATCTAGTTTCTGGCTGCATGGCCTGCTCCTAAAGCCAAAAAAAAGCACTGCACATAAAATTGCACAAAACAATATCTAAAAGTCTCATGTTAGAATTGAAAACGTAATTATATTGCTCAAGAGAATAAAAGATGCAAAAGTTAAGCAAACTACTAACCACAGTAGATTCCTCACCACTTAGCACATATGACGCATAACTAGAAATATAAAAATCACCCAGAATCAAAATATTGGCATCATGCAAGGAATGTATTCCACAGATTAATTCAAAAACAGTTTCATATGTAGAAAGAGGTTTCGTAGGTGGGATATACAACACCAAAATGCATAAACTTGTTTTCCCAAATACAGTTTTCACTCCAAGAATATCCACAGCAATTAGGTTACATTGCACATCTAAACAGATTGAGAAAAATTTATCCGTGATTGCCAAAAGTATGCCACCTGATGCTTTAAGTATTCGATGGCAGCATAACCGTTAGTTCAAGTTTCAAAAACTACATGGCTACTAACTTACAAAAGGTTGTACTAAAGGGGGCGTGAGTAGACCATGAGTCGACTATTCCGCCTCGTCCGATTAGCCTCATCAATCACGGTTTATATTTTTGGCCATGGATTGGATTACTGCGTTAACATTGTTGAAATGACGGATATAGAGGAATGAGACGTAGCAGGGGGGATTCTCCCAAAGGACACGAGATTCCAAGGCAAAAAGTTATGCCTGATTGATAAGTAATGGTTCATTGATTTTCTCAAAAATACCTGTCTCTGAACTAGAGATTTAACATATCGGAAAAAACGGGAAAATTAGAAAAAAAGCAGGTTTTTTTCCTTTTTTTCCAGACCATGGGAAAAATTGTAAAAAATGGGAAAATTTAAATATTTTTTAGTTGTGACTTGATACGTAAAATAGGTACCAATTTTAAAATTTTTTAAACATATTTTGTAAAAATGAATACAAAAAACATACTTTAATAATATCTATTAATATCTAAGATATAAATACATACATGTTTATAGGGTCAAATTATAATTATTATCTAATAATTGAAAGTATCAAAAACAAAGCTTCAAAGGTAGAAAACACATTATTTAACTAAAGCGCTCAGAGGTATATTTTCATCTGAGTTTGAGTTTGAATCTTCAGACCAAGCATCTGATTTAGACTCGACCTCCGCTCCGTCTTCATGGACGGACAAAACAGCATAATCTTTGCCAGTCTCTTCTAAAAGTGGAACTGGTCTAGCATCGTAAATGAATGTCTGTTTTTCGTTTATAACCAAATTAGAATGAATAATAACCAGCTTCTGAATTTTATCCTGTGATAATCTATTTCTTTTGCTAGTATGTATGAGGCCGTGTAAAGACCAGTTTCTTTCTGAAGAGGCGGAAGATGGCGGTCCATTTAAAATTCGGGAGGCAATTGGCATAAGTGGCTGCGTTGTAGACAAGCCTTGCCACCATATAACGGGATGAGTTCTATTCGCACTATCCCATAAAGAATTTCGACTAAAAAATCCAGTTTTTGTTCTAAATTGGGCTAGATTTGCCACCACCTTCCCTACATCTAGATTTAGTGAACGAGCCATTTCAGAAATGAAGTCTATTGCTTCCATTAGTTGGTCTTCATTCAATTGTTCTCCTTTAAAGCGAGCATCAAGAAGATTGGCTGCAAAGTGAATCGGCTTAGAACAAAATTCGTAGCGTTCTTCAACATATTTTAGCAAGCTTTCGATAAGAGAACTAGTTAGGTCAACTTGTTGGGGAATATCTAATATTGTGTCTTTTATATACTTAAAGGCAAAGGGCACTTCTGATAATATAGATCTATCCGATTCTACTAAATTTATCGATTTTGATACAGGATGCAGGATTTGTTTAGTATATTGTAGGTTTTGCCAGAACGCATCATCCAATACAACTTTTTTAATATTTTGTTTTACATTCAGGTTTTCCACGAATACAGTTCATTGCAGAGCTTCCCTATTTCTTAAAAGCGAATCAACAGTTATAAACATCTTGTTTTTGCAGGTAATTTGAGGGAAATTACTTTACCTTTGGGTATTTTCGGCCTGTGCTTCTTTAAATGCTGCTTAAAATATTTACAAATATTTTTAGACTCTTTACTTATTTTTTCAAACAAATTTTCTTTCATAAAGACCTTTAGTAGCAAATTCAGAGTGTGAGCTGCACAACCAACACAAGATATATGAGGATATGTTGTATTTGTAATATGCCAACCTGCTTTCATATTGCTCGCATTGTCAGTCACTATAAAAAAAAATTGTGGCCCTATTTCTTGAATAACTTTGATAAGTTCATTACTTATATAGGTACGTTCCCGTTTCTTTTGCAGTGCCACGATGAACAGTTTTGTAAAATAAAGGTATAGGCGTGCATATAACAATATTGATTAATCCATCTCCGACTATATTTGTCCAACTATCTGTTACTATTGATAAACTATCGGATTCAGAAAGCTTTTGACTTCGGTTTATCTGTACCCGTTCATACTCGGAATTAAGTAAGTTTGTTGACAGGGCGTAAGGGCTAGGTATTTGGTATGACGGTCTTAACATTTTAAAAACCTGTTCCCAATATGTATTTTTTAAAAGAGAAAAGGAGCACCAGAAGCATAAAGAGCCCTAGCTAATGCCTCATCAATTTTAGAAGACTCTGAAACAGCTATCTTATCGAAAAACCTGCTCAATGTTTGTTGGCAGCTAGCTTTCTTGCGTTTTACTGATGGTAATGGAGATTCGGAAGATTATGACATTGATGACGTGTCCTTTTTGCTAGTTGAAGCGAGACTGGTATCTTCTAATGCATCTAGCAGGATATCTTTGTTACTTTATTTTTCTTCTGACGTCGAAGGCTTCGAACTCGATTGTATTTCATTGCCATATTTTTGTTTAATTTCCAAAGGACATTTTGAACATTGGTTTAATATATGATTCGTCGTGCAGTTGCGTGTCGTCATGCGAGTTGCGTTTGGAAAGGCGTATTTAAAACAGCAAAACTTACACACAGCCTTGAATTTCTTATCTGTTTTTTCAATATCAAATAATTGCCAAATATCTGAAGAAGGTCGAACCATATTGTCCTGCAACAAGAAAAAAATACATAAATAAAATATCTTGCTGCAGTTTATCAACTGATCAAATTCTTGTAATTTAATGAGTATACAGATAATAGGAAACTGAAATCCCACCTTGAAAACACCTAAAGATATTCCAAATTTAATAAAATATTCACTTACCAGAAACCAAAACAAACACTTGGGTCAACAACACTAACAATCTTCAGAACAAATACACTCAATTATTACAGCAAAATTTCACTTTGTGTTATTTATTTACTGCGCTTATGATAAGGCTAAATTAAAATGCGTGCTTTAAAATAAACAAGACGTGTCAATATTGAAGAATCTCATTCTCAACTGAACAATTCAGGAATACGGGGATTTAGCGAAATGCCGTGTCGCTGTGCGTGATCGGGAATTAACCGAAAGCTGTAGTGGTTACCGAAAATCG